ATACATTAGTCTGTGTCACTGGTTTCCAGCCAGTGATATAAGGGTCAAAGTGATGCATATCACTTCTAAACCCAACCATATGTCTCCATGCTCACCTACTCACACTTTCTCTTCTCTGATAAACTTAGAGGCCATATTTTTAAATAGAGTAGCAGCATGAGATCCCAGTATTCTTTTTTGGAGAGTCAAATTATCTGTATCAGACTGACTCGGGAGCAAAGGCAAACCTTTATCAGATGAAGTCTTTGAAATTTCTGAGTTTATTTGTTCAGGTTTTTATCCTTAATTTTCTATACTGATTACTAAGCTATTACCTCTCCACACTAAACCCATTCCTTCTACGTTCTACCTCAAGATGCTGGGGCTGGGAGCCTTCAAACCAGATTTCTTCTTTGCCATTAACCTCTTGGTTAAGTTCTGAAAATGCTAGTGTTAAAGACAACTAGAAGTCAGGAGGAGAAAGCCCTCTCCTTGTTTATCCTCTGTTTCTCTTAGTGTCATTCCTGCAATGCTTCTTTATGTCAGCAGTGGACGTTGGGTCCAATTTCTAAGCTTTTTTTCACACTGTCTGAACTATCTTTATTGCACCATCCCCTCCACCCCCACTAAACATACAAAAACCAGGATGTTCATCCCCTTCAGAAATGTGGGTCCCAAATCCACAGGGTCCCTCCTCTGAGCTCCTGAGGTACTTCATCAGCTGAGCAGCACTCCTCCTGCAAGGTCGGGACACAGTCCTGAGGACCCTCTGCTCCAACAGATTAGGCTCTAGCAACTTCAGCCTCCTCCCTTTGTTACTCTTCTGCATGGGTGGTGGTTAGTTCTTGCAGGTATTAAACTTGTATACTGTTATGACTTTTAGTCTTCCAATACCAGATTAATATTTTTTCATATTATATTCTTCCTGCTAAAATTGCTTGATGTGGTTTCTGTTTTCCTGACTATACCCTAAATTGCATACTATCCAAATATAGAAATTTGTAGCCAAAGCTTGTGCTATTAAGACAAAAATCTAAAATACACAGCATTTCTTTAATGGTTGGGCAATGGGTAGCAAGAAAATTGATTTCAGAGGTGTTATAGAAAGCCATTTATCTGCATAGAATTCTTGCAAAACTCTTGGCAAAACTGCTCCTTGAATTAACTTGAGAGGCAGACAGTGGGTCTGCAGGGCTGGAAACACTTGAAATAGATTGGAAAACAAAACATTCATAAAGTATGTTAACTATAACTGGCTACATTTGACAAGGTATTAAAAGAGAAACATGACTGGCTAATGCGAAAGCAGATATGTGGAGAAATAAAGAGAATATAGAAGTGTTCAGGGCTTATTGAGCAAAATGGCTGGCTTCTTCTAAAGCCCAAATGGTGGGATATGGCATTGATGAAGGCATTGAACAGCAAAGGCCCAGTAAAAATTTTCAGTTGAGCAAACAGACTCAGGGAAAATATGAGATGATTGAGAGCCAGTACCCAATAACATTTCTCAGCTGAATAAACTATCTCTGGACAAAGATCAAGTAAGTTAAGGATGTGGTCCTTCCACCTATTTTTCAAGACAGTATCACAATGAGACAGATTGGGAGAAGAGGAAGTTAAAGGCATCCAACAAAAAACATTCCCAGGCACATGGACTGTTAGGAAGCAAATAGATTTCAACTCTAGTAAGATCTCAGAGAATTATAGTACTAAAATACCATGATTCCAGAAATATGACCCTTAAATATTGAAGACTTAAAATAACTCTTATCCCTTAAGCTTCCTCAAATGGAAAAAAAAATGTTTATTTATTTATTTATTTATTTATTTATTTATTTATTTAACAATAGGGTTTTGCTTTGTCACCCAGGCTGGAATGCAGTGGTGCAATTATATAGCTTACTGTAACTTCAAACTCCTGGGCTCAAATGATCCTCCTGCCTCAACCTCCTGAGTAGCTGGGACTACAGGTGTGTGCCACCCCACCTGGCTAATTTTTTTTTTAATTATTTTTTGTAAAGATGGGGTCTTGCTATGTTGCCCAGGCTGGTTTTGAACTCCTGAGCTCAAGTAATCCTCTTGCTTTGTTCTCCCAAAGAGCTGGTATTACAGGTATGAGCCATGGTGCCCACCCTCAAACAAGAAAACAATAACTTAAGGCTATACAGCCCTAAATGGGCACTTCAAATGTAGACAAGGAGAATAATGGAAAGGTTAAAACCTCTAAGAAGGGATATCCAGAAGGTAGAGATAACTACAGATAAGGAAGATATCCCAGGGAGCTGGTCAGAGCCTATTCAAGGATCCTCTCTGATCTACAGATTGGGCAGACTTTATACTATCTGTCCAGTAGGATTTCACCTGTGTTGGCCATGTATAATGGATTCTTTCTCTTTCCAAGCTGTTTATTGTGTTTCTATCTTCCCATTCCTCTCTTTCATATTAGATTTATGTTGGAAATGGGTTGCAAAATGCAGATAATTTGTTCATGGGTGACTCATTATTGTCATGATCATTTGACAAGGAAAATGACTAACTAGATAGAGATGACTGACTTGAGCTGAATCCAGTGACTGAAAGAATTTTGAGCTGTCACTCTTGAAGAGTAATAATACCTTTATTAGTGAATAGAGCATGACATGAATATTTGGTGACCAGAAAGGTGGATTGCGGCAGAGATGGGCTAGATGCACACTAATTCCATCTCCTTTTCCTGGCCACATAGGAAGGCAACATTTACAAGCCTCCCTTGCAGTTCAGTTGGGGCCATAAGATTAGGTTTTGGTCAACGGAAGAATGTCTATCAATTAAAGGTGCTCCATAATGATCCAGGCATGAGGTTCCACATAGTCTCTTACATTTCCTCAGTGACTAAGAGGCCATGTTCTCATGAAGGCAGCATCAAAAGATGGAAGGAGTATGAATCTTTAAATCATCATTTGGCAGTGAGTTTACAGAAAGAACTGGCCAACACACAGTAGACCATAACGTGAGACAGAGATATTTTATTTTCTATGTTAAGAAACTGAGATTTGGGGGTTTTATGTGATAGTGTCTAGAAGTTATCCCCACCACAATACAGCATTAGATTTAATTAATGGATTTAATTAAATTAGTAATTGTCTTTTTCTTTCTACAAGAACTTGAATAGTAAAAAAATACCATTAAGCAAGTGAGACAATGCAGTGTAACAGAAAAAGTCTTACTTTGAGAAGCCTGATTATTAGTAACCCTTTTATTATTTACTAGGTAAGTGACACTGGGAAAGTTAATTTCTCTGAGTCACCGTACACATACGCAAAATGAAGCTATTATTAAGTTACTCAATTACAGGCAGAAACTCAGGACAAAACTTTGCTTAAGGTTTTTTATGGTTTTTGATCAACGATTCTATGAAATAGAAGTTAAACACTAAAACCACTCTAATGAAAGTACAAAAATAATTTTTTTATTTAAAAATATTTGGCTATTGCATGATACCTGACAAAGTCCAGCTGTAAGTATAAAAATTGTGTAACACGTGTTTAAGTGGTGTTAATACATGCCAGTTTTATTGCAAATGATAACTTATAAAAGATCATTTTAGAGTGAGATGAGACAATGCAGATGGTAATTTCAAAAGGAATCTATTTCCTAGAACTTTGAATAGCTAATAGTGTCACATATATCTCTCCATACTCTCAGCTCTCACCCTGCAAGCGAAGATGATGGAATTTAAGTAGTATTCCCACTCTCATTACTTTATTTTGTCAACTTGAAACCTATTCTTTCAGATAATCTCTCTAGATACCCACTCACTAATGTTTATTTAGGGTCATTATTTCTGTGTAAATACTGTGGTCTCGATGTTTCTGTTCTCCCAAAATTCAGATGTTGAAATCCTAACCCCTAAAGGGATGGTATTAGGAGGTGGGGCCTTTGGGAAGTGATTAGGTCATGAGGGTGGAGATCTCATGAACGGGATTAATTTCCTTATAGAATAGGCCCAAGGGAGCTTGATTTCCCCTTCAACCATGTGAGGGCACAGTGAAAAGGCGCCATCCATGAACCAGAAAAGTGGGCCCTCATAGACACCAAATCTGCCAGCACTTTGATCTTGGACATCCCAGCCTCCAGAACTGTGAGAAATAAATTTATGTTGTTTATAAGCCACCAGAGTTTGTGGCATTTTGTTATAGCAGCCTAAACAGGCTAAGACAGTCACTGAATAAAAATTGTCAAATAAACCAAAAGTAAAAAAACCTAAATGATTCTTTGCTTCTATTTAATTATATGTTCAATAGCTAATAAATAAGGCTGAAAGAATTTGTGTTCTTATAAAACGGTAAAATAATAATTATTAATAAAATATATCTAACATTAATTTAAAAGTTGGAGATTAAATGGAATTTTTCTTCTTTAAATCAAAATGAAGAATGTTGCAGCCAAATCTAAGCAAAGAACATTTAAAACTCCCTTTGCTAATGCATTCTTTTGTCTTAATCACCAGAAAATAATGAGTATCTAAATCCAAGCATTGAAACTCCGAGCAGAAAACAAAACATGAAAGGGTATATTATTGATTTGGTATTAAAATTATTTTTGT